GGTGTCCCTGCCCAGGGCAGGGGGCTTAGAACTAGGCAATCTTTAAAGTTCCTTCCAACCCAAACCATTCTGTGATTCCACAGCAGACACTTTCTTCAAAAGGCACACTGCATTTCTCAGGTGAGAGAATTCCACCTCCGAATCAGCATTCCTTGCACTGCTGTGTTTACAAAGTCTGTTTAGCAACACACCTGCACCTGCCAGTGCACCTGCCTGCAATTACAGCCAGCAAACCAGATCTGTCACAGCAGAGGATCCAGAAACACTGCAGCAAGTTAAAACTCCAACTTCAGTACAGTTAGCTCAATGTCTGCATATTATTTTTTTGCTTTTAATGAGACGTGGAAGCTCCTGAACCACATACCTGGTATGACAACTGGGAAAGTTTTACACAGCCCTTTCAGAAGTGGCTGAAAGGCATCTGTCAAGGGATGTCCTCCTTGCTGTTGATCTGAGAAGGATTCTCCCAAGCCAGGACAAAACACAGCTATTTCAGATGGAAATCTATTGTTTATTACTCAGGACTGACAACAAAGAAGACAAAAATTAAACCCAAAACCTCTCTGTTTATACGATGATGAATAGATCCACTGATGCACTTTGCAGAGTCATCCCCAAAACTCACCCTGCAGTCTGTCAGAAGGAACACTCCAGCTCTGGGAAGCCACAGGTGCCTCAGTGACATACAGACATGTGGTTTTCTCAAAGGTGTAAGAACTGCACTGTCTGCATCAACCTTTATTGACTCCAAACGAAAATGCTGCCTTGAAAGCCTCCAAGTTCACATTCTAAAGAAGGGCAATTAGAATTTAGCCTATGCATAACATTTTCAACTAAATGTTACACAAATAACATTTTTTTTTCCCCCTACAGTTTATATTCTTACTCAAATCTAAAACCAGCAGCCATGAAAAGAAGACAAGAAAGTGTGTAAAGAAACTCTACACTGACTGACACATGGACAACACAAGGACACCACTGACACCATCACTTCCTTTCTACCAGGGAAGACTTTTTTTTTCCTATTTTCAGCATTCACATAGAAACGTCAAATCCTGAAAATAAATACCTGTCTCAGAGCACTTCACAAGCACCCCAAAGAAAACTATACACAAATAATACATTCAGCTACTCCCTCGTTTTCAACACTTCCAACCATCACCACATTTAACTTTCACAGCTGGAAAAGGTGTGTGTCAGCTATGGATTTAAGGAGCAATAATGCTCACTGTCTGAGGGCACTTTCCACTATCAAGTGGCTTCAGCAAATTCTGTTCTACAGACAGAAAAGCTTAAGAGATGTGTGCAGAAGAACCACTGTTGGACTGGATTCATGGCCTGACTAATGCACCATTACTTTGAAACCCACTCAAGAAGAGTCATCAGAGTCTGAGCACTGACTGTGGAATTCTGGTCCCCACACAAATCAGCAGGA